TATTTATTCATTTATTTTTTTGTTTTGGTATTATTTTGGTTCTTAGCATAGTGGGAGGAGAGCACAAGATCGAAACGAAATTTATTACAGTTGGGAGTGGATCCAGTCAATGTAGGACGAGACACGCGTGTACACGGAAGGCATGTGGCTAGATCCACATGGCATCATACCCCATGAAACGATACCAACTTGTACATGTTTTCCACCAACATTTTGGGCGAGTGGGCCACCAGAGTCACCCTGCAAACAAATCGAAGAAATGCATTGATACTCTTGTCCAAAAAAAAAAAAAAAAAAACAATTACTGTACTTCGGTGATTGTCTCTTCACACGTGATTCTTTATCCATCTATTTCTTTTTTTCTTTTTTTCAATCAAAAATCTTCAAACTCTTTTCAATTCCAATTCCACCCCTTGAGGAATTTTTGACTTTAATTTCTATTTTAGGAAAGTCAACGACAATTCCATTTTTACTCTCAAGAATTAACCTTTGAAAACCTTTGTAGTCAAACGTTAAGTTTAGAGTAATTAAGAAATAAAGTACGAGATACACTTACAGAGCAAGCAGACACTTCCTTGCCAGCGATTCCAGAGCAGACCTGGGTATCGAACAATTCAGGTTTCTGTCCAGAGATAGGTTGAGACGTGAGCTCTTTGTAACATTCGGCGTTATCGAGAATGGGTACGACAGCCTTTTGAAGAACGTTCGGCATACTAGGAAGAATGGACTTGGAAGTTGATCCCCATCCGGAAAGAACAGCTTGGCCAGTTTGCTTTTGCCCTTGCGTAGGCAGGCTGATGGGTTGGACCGCGTTGTTCAGTTTCAAGGGCTGGCTCAGGAACATCAGAGCGATGTCGTGTTGCGCGACACCGCTATGAAATCACAGAAGGAATCTATGTCAGCTGGCATGCGTGCGATATGAAAGTATTATTTGCTTTAAAAATAGTCGGCCGATCGAAACATTTCTTCCCAATCATCTCTTATCTCAACGCGCTATTGAAAAATAGAAAATCCCGAAAATAATAGATTGACCAACGAGTAAAAGATAAGACGAAGAAAGTTTTTCAGTTTAAATTTTGGACCAAGTCGAATTCATTTTTCAAGAATTTTTTTCGAAATACGAAAGTATCAGAGAGAAAGAGAGAGAACAGGAAGATCATTGACGCCTTGAAACTTTATTTTCTCAAATATACTAATTATACTAATTATACGCAGTAAAATTACAAATAAATAAAATAAGGTGT